CACAATTGTAGTAGCAATAAGTTATAAGTAGCTGCAGCAACACCAATATAGCAGCAACATCAATGCAGCAGCAACACCAGTGCAGCATTAATTCCAGTGGAACAGCAGCCCCAATTCAGCAACAATACCAATGTAACGGTAACATCAATGCAGCAGCAGCAGCATGGATGTAGCATCGCCAAAGCGGCAGCGCCAGCACCAGTGCAGCAACAGCATGCATGCAGCAGCACCTGCGCAGCAGCAGCATTAACGCAGCAGCACCAGTGCAGCAGCAGCACCACCAGTGCAGCAGCAGAAGCAGCAGCAAGGATGCCTCAGCACCAGCGAAGCAACAGCATTAAGGCAGCAGCGGCAGTTTGCAGGCAAATGTAGCCATAAAACTGCTCATGTATTCAAGTAGGCCTGACCGAGGCTCGCCAGGACGTAGGCTGCGATGTAAAACGGGCCGGTTTAGCAGTCCGGATGAGCAGCAGGATGTCGATCTGGGCAATTTTTCATATGCAACCGGCCTAGACTTAACCGGTGCTGGAAGTGGAGGTTCGAATCAAAAGACGGGATTTCTTTCAATGATAGTAAAGAATAATAATGAAAAGCGCACGACGAAACATATAATCGAATTATTCGAGTTTAATTTCGTTGTAAAATTATGCATTATGCATCCGTAAACATAAGTATTTCAAAGGGATTAATTACAAAGATAAAAATATTCCAAATTTAACAGTTTTAGCCGCTTTATAATCTATGCCAAGGAGTACATAGCTCGACTTTCAAAACAACTGCTCAAAACTTGTATGCCACAATAAAAATTCTTGGAAAATGTTTTATTGAAGAGCCGGTTTCGCCCTAATTTCGGTTAATTTAGGCGAATGCCATCAAAGAAAATATTTCCCAGAAATTTTAATTATGGCTAACAAGTTGTGGGCATTTTGCCTTTGCAGCTCCTATCAGCAGTAATGAGTTGTAAGCTAAATGAAACATGAATGTGAATATAATGTTCATGTGGTCTATTCTTTAAATCCTCTTCGTAACAAATTACTAATCGGCGATCAGGCAGAAATGGCATCCGACCAATGAGCTCAAGTATATGGTGAATAATATGTAACGGACTCATCATCACTCCAGTTCTCGCAGTCGAAGCAAACGAAATGAACTAAAATAATAACAAATCAAGTAAACAGACCAATAAAAATTGGGAGTTAAAATTTTACGACATCCGTTATTTTGCTAATTATCCTAGTTATTCAATCATCGTTGGATCACCATTGCAATCTGCATTGAATTTTAAGCACTAGACCACACGATGACCTTTTTGATGACAATAAGGGCACGCTTGCATCGCTATATTTGACATCTGGACCTGTTCTCCTGTGGCATCATATTATAAACGATCCCCTCATAAGAAAAATTAAACGATGAAGAGGCGCTCTCTTGACATGGTGTTGAGGCAACCATGATTACTTCTTGATTTGATCCGCTAAAGAAATAGATCACTTTTTGTCAACCTGGTTGGATAAATTTTCTCCTGTAGAGCTGATCACTAGTTCTGTAATCGAAAACAATAAAACTAGAATACCGTCTTTCATTTAAGCATCTCCCTAACCCCTGTTTATCTCGTCAACTTCTGATCCGGCATTAACTACATGAACTTTACAATGTATCACTTTGTTGTTCGTTGTACTCGGAGGTTTCTTTCGTTGTGCTAGAGACGCCGCAGGAATCGTCTTGGGTCGCCATGGTCAGTTTCATAGTTAAAAAGACTGTAGTGCATGTCGTTTAAAGAAATCTGACCTCTTTCCATAACTTCTATTCTCTGAGCACGAACTTTTCATCGTCTGAGTTCCGCCGCAAATTTTTCTAGCCAACATTCGCGCAGATATTTTAACTCGCCCTAGATTCAACTCGATTCTTTCAACTCGATTATTTTAAGTCGCCCTACAACTCGATTCTTTCTATTCGATTATTTTAAGTCGCCGTAACAACTCGATTCTTTCAACTCGATTATTTTAAGTCGCCGTAACAACTCGATTCTTTCAACTCGATTATTTAAAGGCGCTTTACAACTCATTTCTTTCAATTCGATTATTTTAAGTCGCCTTACAATTCGATTCTTTAAACTCGAATTTTTAAGGCGTTTTCAACTCGATTATTTTAAAACGCCTTACAACTCGAACCTTTCGATTCGATTATTTTAAGTCGCCTTACGACTCGATTCTTTCAACTCTATTATTTTAAGTCGTTTTATAACTCGATTCTTTCAATTCGAGTATTTTAAGTCGCCTTACAACTCGATTCTTTAGACTCGATTATTTATAGACGCTTTACAACTCGATTCTTTCAATTCGATTATTTTAAGTCGCCTTACAACTCGATTCGTTCAACTCGATTATTTTATGTCGCCTTACAACTCGATTCTTTCAACTCGATTATTTTAAGATGCCGCGTCTGTAAATTTTCACTGGGAAGAACTCCTACCCTAACAAAATTTAGAGTCGACCCAGCTTCTGGTAATCCAAATCAGAAGCTGCCGCGACTGTAAATTTTCACTGGGATAGCTTTGATGACAGTGCAATCTTGCGCGACTTGAAGGGATGAAACGATCGTACCAACACCTCCTCCTTGTGTACACTACAGAACATAAACATTAATTTTATGTTTAGCCGAACGGTTGAGCTTTGAGGTTGAGGACCAGTGTAGGTCAACATGAGTTCGTTTGTTTTTATATCGTAAATATTTTTTATTACTTGTTCAAGCTTAACTTAAACATCGTGTGCCTACCAATGATGTTACCTCAGGTGACCGACTTTCAAAAGCATCAATAATAATTGACAACATCATAAAAAAACATAGGCTTATGCTTGCATATATGCAGCGAACGTCCCATTATCCTGTTTTTATTTATTTTTTTTCTAGTCTTCATTATTCATAATTTACGAAAATTTATCTTGTTCTTCTTACTACCATCCGTTGTAACAAAGTTAAGTTATTTAGGCATTTTACGATCATTCTGGCTGGTTCGTTACTTTGCGTATTGTAATTTTTTTAGTTACCCTGAAAATATTATAGAGTCGTGCTTAGTCTACGGAAACTAAACCGAAAAATTAATTTACTTCTTGGCTGAGATCACCTGGATAACTAACAACGATTGAATAAGAACTGCCGAGCAATTATAGAAATATCAAACATATACTAGAACTAGAAGAAAAATTAGGCCAGTGTTTAATCATATAAATTGCCCATGCAGAGATCCACAATTCATAGATAAAATTTTTTCTCGTCAATTTGGTCCAAACTTTCTAAAAACGCCCTCGTCACTTTTGAATTTGTATAACGAGGGCAACGCTTCTATTGATTAATCGAATCAAACATGCCGGAAAAAAGTGCTAAAGCTTTAACCGCTGATTGCCAGAATTGTTCAAAAGTTGTCTTTTCATGCGGAATGCATGCGAAATTAAGCGTTAATCGACGCCGCTATCGCAGAGCGTTCGGTAGCCAACGGTTGTCTCATCGGCTTGAAAGCATCCAGGAGGGAAAAAAATTCAGCAACCTTCAGAGTTCAGCCTTGAAGTGCTGGAGTAAAATAGAAGTAACGATCTCTAAATAACTAGATATTTTATTTTATATTGTTTGCAACATGAATAAAGGAACTGAATAAGATTTTCTTGAAGTATTATTTTATCAAAATGGCTCTCAGCCCAACTGAAACATTTTACATTTTCCCATTCAAAATTCATATCAAATAACATTATATACATTGATAACCATGATAGTTACCGTGTCGAAACCTTGACCACAAAATTCATTTTTAGTAAAAGGATAGCAAAGCATTGAAATACTGGAAGAAAAGGAATAGATCAAAATTTGAAGTTTCATCTTTGTTTTTTTTTGTGTAAAAATTGAATTCAAAACACCAGACGAGTTCAAATTCTGAGAAATTTTAAAATAAAAAAAAAACACGAGATTCAAATGCGAGTTCTTTGCTCTTTGAAAACCGTTGGTAGAAGCGCCTTTCAATGATCAGGGAAATAAAAACCCTCCTGGGTTTTTTTATATATAAAATAATAACGCTAACTATAGTAGCGCTAACTATAATAAAACCCTCTTGGGTTTTTTATATCTAAAAAGAATAACGCTAACTACAATAACGCTAACTATAATAAAACCCTCTTGGGTTTTCTTATAGTTAGTGGCATTCAAGATGACGGGAATGACGGGATTTGGGAAGCAGGATTCCTAAATTATCGGGATTACAAAACCCGGGGAACGATCAGTAACCCTGCTAGAATTATTACAAGATTCAACTTCACCTCAGTTAGGAATTTGAATACGAATGGTTGAATTCGATAATTTTGAACAGCATTCCACCATAAAAATAATGATGAATATAATAATAAAAATATAAACGGTAATATTACGTTCCCAATATAGAAAAAATTGTCCGTATAAAATTGAATATAATGTGAAACTTCCACCTTTTCATTATGATTCATTGACGTAGTTGATAAATGCTGTGCTATTTTAAAATCACTTTTAACTGCAGTTCTTCTTTTTCTTCACTAGAGCAGCGAAGCCCGTCAGTAAGATTTCAACGGCCTTTGGACAGCCATTTTTTAACATTTTTTAATTAACAAATGTTATTTCAACTCAAATTTGCGTTAAGCACTGTCTCAAAATAGATTGACTCATTTAATTTCCTCCCACTAAAAATTCGAAATAATTTGTTTGAATTAATTTTGATTAATAACGTTTATTAAAATTTTAAATTGATGAAGTTTATTAAAATGTGAAATTGATTAGGTTTATAAAAATGTAGAATTACTTAGGTTTATTACAATTTAAAATTGATTAAGTTTAATTTCAATTTCCCAATGAACTGCGATGTAACTCCCCACTTCAAAGTTTTAATTAGTCTACGTTTTTCGTCCGACTTATAGCATCTGTGAGAGTATCATTATCATACTACCAATTTATTAAATATATATTTTCTTTACTCAGAACGCGTTACTGCAGCAGCGAAAACCTGACACAGACTCGCGTGTGCAAGAGTTGGAGCAAAAACTACAGACGAAAGCAGCGGATTACGACTTACTCGCACGAAATCTTAAGATGCGGATAAACGTCGCGGAAAATGAAGCTAAAAACCTCCAGTTGGAGGCTAATACTTTAGAGAAGAGTTTGAAGGATGAGAAGGAGAAAAATAAGCAGCTGCATCACCGCAACAACCTTCAAGTAGATGCCCTGGAGCGTCATTTGAGAGAGGAAACCGAGAGGCATAGAATCACTCAGGCCAGCTTCGAGAAGCTTAGGTCTAAGGTGAGTAAGTATGAATGCTCATCAATTTCGGAGTTCTCGAGGAGTTCTTGGGTCACTTTTAAATGTCTGCGCCGTCGAAGACTAAACCTAATGGTCTTCGACCCCGCTGAGATTGAAAACAATCCCGAGGAGTTCTACCCAGTGGAAATTTACAGTCGCGCCAGCTTCTGATTTGGTTTACCAGAAGCTGGGGCGACTCTAAATTTTGTTAGGGCCTGGGGCGATCGTAAATTCAAGTTCGAAAGAAAGATTCGTGTTTCATGTGAGCGGTTTGTTGGCCGCATTTTCCAAAATTTAGGCATTGAAGTTAAGTTGTAAATTGATGTTAAATTGCCAAAAATTTAGAAGCAAAGAAAATGCCAATGGAAGTACAATATTCTCCATAAAAATAATTCGGATACCATCGTCAGTATCAATTGAATAACGTCAAAAATGCTGATATAATCGAAAAAACCACGTCACGTACGCTCAAACGTACTTCAATAAAAATACATCCAGGTTAACACGAGAAAAATATGTTTGGATAGATATTTTTAATTCTTTTGGGATATTTAGAGCAATAAAATGCCAAATAAATTAGTTTCCCGATATCAACCTCAATCTATCCCTGCTCTTAAATTATTGGTTAATTGGTAATTCAGGTTACAAAGAGATATTAGTTCTGAATTCCGATTTTTAAACAATATTCTAGGGTTTGAGAAGTGGGATTTAGACGTAGTGATAGACTTATTAACCTAAATTTAATTTTGAGCAACCAAGCCTTGTCAGGTAAAAGAGTTTAGGAGGATGCTAAGTTGACAGGCTTGGATAATGTTCTCGGGCTCATATTAAATCTCCACATTAGTCAAAAATTATATATTATATCATCAATCAATTTAACTCCTATGCACTTCAATTTTAAATTATATTCTCATCATAAAGTTATAAATGCTTATTCCCTTATTGCAGGTGAAGGCTAACCTGGAGTCTCAGGTTCAACGTCTGCAGGAAGGTGAAGTCATTCTGAAGGAAGAACAAGCTGTTCTCTTATCTGAAGTCCAGACACTAAAGGGAGAAAACGAAGGCCTTAGCAGAAGGCTTCGTGAGCAGGAGCGTCAGCATGCAGAGCTTCTCGAGCATGAAGTGAAGGCTGCTGAAGCCAGAGTGAAGACCCGACTTGAGAAGTCATGGTTGGAGAAGCTCAAGCGCACTGAAGAGAATGCAGCTCTAGACGTGAGTTGGTAAATTGTGGGGGATATACAGAGGGTGAAAAATATAACTCGGTACTCACTGCAGTTAGTGACAGAGAGCGTATTTTCTCGGCGACGAAAACGTGAAGTCACGGACGGACAGACAGACGGACGGACAGACATGTAGCGCCTTTTTCCATAAATGAGAATATGCGCTAAAAAGTATCGAACAAAGAGGAAAAAGCTTTATTTAATTGAGGCTTATCCTGCAAAATAACTTGAACAATACTATTCTAAGTCAATTGACATGGAAGTACAAATATCATTTCAAAACAACAATATCATTAAATGTTGACTTTATCATTGCAATTTTGTTAAAGTTGAGGTTCAAAATAATGAAGTTTAGCCATCATGTCGGATACTTTTTGCACCCACTGTAAGCACTTTACCTGAAATTCAATGACAAGTTTTTCATAGGCTGACGTTTCCAAGGGGAAAATTTAGACAAAAATGACAATTGAAAATTACGCGTTCAGTTATTTAGTCTGAAGGTCTGAGAGTGCAGACAAAAGTTAGTAAAAGAATATAACTCAGTACTCACTGCAGTGAGTGACAGAGCGCATTTTCTCGTCGACGGACGAAAACGTGAAGTCACGGACGGACAGACGGACGGACGGACGGACGGACGGACATGGCGAGCACAATAGTGCATTTTTTCCATAAATGAGAAAATGCGCTAAAAAGGTTTGAGAAGCATTGGGCGATCGTCCGTCTGTTGAGCTGCGTTATAGTGAATTAGGTGCTCAATATTCGAGAGTTTGTCGAGCCAGTGTGGCAATTATTCACTAAATATTGACAAATTTGCCAATATTGCGGATATCGGCCTTATATAACATAGGTCTGCAGTTCGGATTGCAATATTGGAATATTGGTCTCCAATCAAATCAATTATTGAATCACGTGCTCATTTAGGCACATAACTTTAACATAGACATGAAGGGCTTTAACATAGGCATGAAGGGAGTTAATTCGCCACACCTTTTGGTCAAAAATAAGCTAAAGCTATAACACGTGCACAGTTAAAGTTAAACAATATGATGTTAATATATCATTAATGTTTAATAGTACAATAATACTTTTAAAGTCAAGAATTCTATGTTTAATTGGGAAACAGAGGCTCAACCTGAGTCAACATGGGTTTCAAATATGTTGAGTACAAGGTATGTTGGGAACAAGGTAAGTTGATACAAGGTAAGTTGCGTACAAAGTATGTTGGTACAAGGAAAGGTGTGTTCAAGGTATGTTGGTACAAGGTATGTTGGGTACAAGATATGTTGTGTACAAGGTATGTTGGGTACAAAGTAGGTTGGTACATGGTATGTTGGGGACAAGGTATGTTGTGTACAAGGTATGACGGTACAAGGTATGTTGTGTACAAAGTAAGTTGCGTACAAGGTAAGTTGGGTTCCAGGTAAGCTGGGCTAAGATATGTTGTGTACAAGGTATGTTGGGTACAAGGAAAGGTGTATTCAAGGAATGTTGGTACAAGGTATGTTGGGTACAAGATATATTGGTACAAAGTAATTTGGGTACATGGTATGGTGGGTTCAAGGTAAGTTGGGCTCCAGATAAGTTGGGTACAAGGTATCTTGGGTACAAGATATATTGGGTACAAAGTATGTTGGGTACAAGGTAAGTTGGTACAAGGAAAGTTGTGTACAAGATATGTTGGATACAAAGTATGTTGGGTACAAGGTAAGTTGGGTAGTTAGGTCAAGTTTGAATTGTTCCCCATTTACCACTAATTGTCGTTGGCAAGTCTGTATCTTGCTGTGCTTGACTGAGTTCCGCATCTCATGGCTCAGATGGAGAGGTCAAAGGATGCGCATCGTCGCGTCGAGTCTGACCTCAGGAAGGAGGTCACCATGGCACAGAAGAATGAGGTCGAGGCGAAGAGGCTTAATGAGGAACTCAAGAAGAAGGTTTGTACAGTCTTGAACTCACAGTTTCATAGTTTATTTATTTAATGGTTTATAATGTGACATCAATCAAAGAACTATTGGATTGTGTTGAAGATGAGAGCAATTTTATTATTCTTAATTTTCGGAGATTCTCGTCCTACTAACGGTTAGGTAAATAATTTATACTTTGTGTTCATACTTCTATAGAAGTATGTTCATGCGTCGATCAAAGCGAAGTCATAATAAATATTTTTCTATTATTTACTATTAGGTATATAAATATTTTCACCATTTATTATGAGGTATTTACATATAGTAAACATAAAAAAATATCTACTATCAGGTTCGTCAGCTGAGGCAGTCAGAGTCTGAACTTCAGCAGCGACTCACAGCCGCTGAGTCCGCTGACATCAAGCGGGAGCGAAGCGTCAGTAGAAGCAGCAGCAGCGCTGTCGTCAGTAGCCAGCAGGACTCGTGAGTACCTGACATGTTCAATCGTTTATTATAACCTCTTTTTACTCATCTAGCCAAAAATAATTACCTATTACTACTAATCCGCTATTCAGTGTATTTTAAAAGCTAATTTAACTTCCCAAATCAAAGTGTTTTCAATTGGCTGTGTTGCTAATGAGGTACTGGAAAAGAGTGCGGCTTTTGCTTCACAATATGGACTTCAGATTTCTATCTAGAATCATCGCCGATATTCAATTAATTGTTTGATGCTAATTAAACTTTTGCTATGCAGCGTACCAATAATGTTAAGCTCGTATATGTGCACTGTACGCACACTTTGTATAGCCGTATTCAGCGTATTGATATGAAATATTTTAGGTAATGCGATGCGATGTAGGAACATGCATCTGGTTCGAGGCGATATTGGATGGCACTTGATGACGCGGTTCGATGGCACGCAATTCCTATGCCCTTAAAATCATCAGTTATTGAAATAAAATTTACCTTATTATCAGCGTCCACATATTTACTGTAATTTTACTCTAATGAATTTCTTGAAAGTTTGACATTTATTATCATCCATGAACGGCAAAATGACTCGATTATATATAAAGATTGAAACTTGCATAGATTGATTTGCGAAGGGTTTTTACTTGCGGTACATTCATCTGCCGAACGACTAAAGCTGCTCTCAGTGAGTATAACTGGCGCTTCCACGTTAGTGTGTCATTTGCATGTACATGGATGCTGAGTTATTTCTGTTGGTGTTGTTATTGATTAAAACTACGTCTAATTTTCTTAGTAAAACTACATTTACTTTTTGAGTAAAACTACGTCTAATTTTTTGAGTAAACCTACGTTTAATTTTTTGAGTAAAACTACGTCTACTATTGAGTAAAACTAAGTCTACTATTGAGTAAAACTACGTCTAACGTTGAGTAAAACTACGTCTACTATTGAGTAAAACTACGTCTACTATTAAGTACAACTACGTCTACTATTGAGTAAAACTACGTCTACTATTGAGTA